TATTCTATTCTATTCTATTCTATTCTATTCTATTCTATTCTATTCTATTCTATTCTATTCTACTCTACTCTACTCTACTCTACTCTACCCTACTTTATCCCTGTCCCTATCCTTATCTCTAATGCAAGAATTTGACCAAATTTCACTCTCTGGAATCTCAAGCTAGTAGAAGACAAAGCTATCTAGTACGTTCTGGTTTTTGTCTTTCTAGAATCTGGTTGTGTGTGTGTGCATTTGTGTTTCATTTCTATCCTGTTTAGTAAGTTATTGGTGTACTTCGTTTACATTCAGTATTCATTCATGTCAAATCCTAGTAGGGCTGAGAGAAAATCAATTCTGAAATTTTGGAGAGCAACTGCTTAGTTTGAGATCAGCATTCCCATCTCTCTAGATACCAAATACATATGTGTGATGTGGAATATATACCGTATTGTGTGTATGTGTGTGTGTGTGTGTGCATAAATGTATCTCTCTCAAAGAGTGACTCTGGGCAGTTTAGAAATAAAATGTAATAAAAAATAAAGGCTGCATATAAAAAATTTAAAACCGAGGCAAGGATATTGTTCCATACAGGTAATCCTTGAGTTACAACCACAATCGGGACCAGAATTTCCACTACTAAGCAAGGATGATGCCAGGCAAGTCTCTCCTGATTTTATGATCTTGTTTGCCTTGGCTGTTAAGTGAATCACTGCAGTTAAGTGAATCATTCAGTTGTTAATCGAGTCTGGCTTCCCCCTTTGACTTTGACTGTTGGAAGCCAGCTGGGAAGGGTACAAATGGTGAACACGTGATCCCAGGATACTGCAATGGATGGAAATACATTTCAGTTGCCAAGCATCCTAAATTTGATCACATGACCATGGCAATGCCACAAAGGTCTTAATTAAAAGGACTGGTCATAAGTCACTTTTTTTAATGCCGATGTAACTTTGAATGGCCACTAAACAAAGGTTTGCTGTGATTTCCTCTCTGATTCTATCCAGATTAATTGGTATTGTTAAAATTTACAAAATTGCTATTCCAGGCATTTCTTTCACTCAAAGGTGCTTTTTCAGGAGGCAACTGGACTTTCTGTTTTTTCTTTGAAGACATTTCACTTCTCATCCAAGAGGCTTCTTCAATTCTGACAGAATAGTGGGGAATGGAATGATTTATGTTCCTTGCAGACAGCTGGCCATTTGCATCCTTGTAGAGAGTCATTGAAGCTTGGAGATTTGTCTTTGTCCTCAGGGTTATTACCCTGATAATTACTACCCTCAGGGTATTATTACTACCCTTAGATAAACCTCCAAGTGCTTCAACAACCATATAGAAGGATGCAAATGACCAGCTGTCTGCAAAGAGTATAAATCCTTCCATTCTCCACCATCCTTTCAGAGTTGCAGAAGCTTCTTGGATGAGAAGTGAAATGTCTTCAAAGAAAAACCAGAAAGTCCAGTTGAGTCCTGAAAAAGCACCATTGGGACAACCATAACTTGGGTGATTGAGAATCTCTACAGACTTGGTTTCACTGTGAATTTAAACTTGGACTTCATGGCCATCCCTTCAAATTCATGCACTGATCACCAAATTGAACCAGCTGACCACCAGATAATCTTCCAATTCAAACCTCTCATGCTCATTTGCTTGTAAACATTGCAGCCATGTTCACCTATCTTTCCCTCTCCAAAGGAATAAACTTTGACAAAGAGTTTCCCCAATTATTGACAACAGACAAACGTGCAGAAAATGAGTTATCAGTATCAATACAACAACAACAACAACAACAACAACAACAACAACTTGGCAGAAGCTTAATCCTGGAGTGAGTAAAAGACAATGAATGACTTTCCCAAGCACCCAAGTTTGTAGGCGTTTGACTGCTGTCATAACTGTACTTTATCAAAAGTCAACTGTGTGACAGAAAATGTGTGGGAAAAAGGGATCAATGAAGTTAGTGCATTCTTATGTATTTTTCCACTAAGTAGGTTACCAAAGAAATGCCTACAAGTCTGTAAAGATTCTCCGTCATCCAGGTCATGGTTGTCAATGACAACCATGACCCGGATGACTGAGAATCTCTACAGACTATTAGCTGTACAATTTGGGGTGAACACCTTTTGAATGGTGCAGGAGTAGGAATGGATTTCCAGAGGAAAAAAGTGCAGACTACAGGAACCAGGAGCACTACTCAGGTAACCCTGAGGATGCAGATAAACCTCCAGGTGGCCTCAATGACTCTCTTAAGAGAATGCAAATGACCAGCTGTCTGCCAGGAATATAAATCCTTCCTTTCCCCATTTCTTGGATGAGAAGTGAAACATATTCAAAGAAAAAAACAAAGTTCAATTGCTTCCTGAAAAAGTACCTTTGGGATAGTAAATCCAAGCATCATCCATCAGTAGGGAACTTCTTCTGAAGTAGAGAAATATATTTTTATTGTGATCAAACCTTCTTCTTTTTTTAATGGCATGGAAGGAGCTGCAGGAAATATGACCTGTGGATACAGTCTATTTTTGACCTATGAGGGCAAAGGCAGGAGATTTTAGCCCAGGGCTCCTCAAACTTGGCAATTTTAAGACTTGTGGACTTCAACTCCCAGAATTCCTGAGCTAACATGACTGGAGGAGTTGAAGTCCACAAGTCTTTAAGGCTAAGCTGTCAAATTTGGAGACCTCTGTTTTAATTCATGGGTGTCCAAGCTTTTGGCTTGCCTCAGCCACGTTGAGTAAAGAGGAATTGTCTTGGGTCTCGTATAAAATATATAATATAGTCAGTGTATATAAACCACATAATAATGTTAAAAGTCTATGATCTTGTGAGGCCACATTACCACATGCAATCATGGGCTGTGGGCTTTTATTGAGGGTTTTTTTAAAACACTTATTTTAAAAAATTAAATCTGATGCTTCAATCTCCATGTTGTTCACTCACTTAAATCTCTATGATCTAAAACAGTGGTTCCCAACCTTTTTTTCGCCCCGCACCCCTAGAGAAATTTCACTCGAACCTCGCACCCCCTGAAATTTAGACTTTAGGAACTACTGAACGCATTAAATATATGGTAGGATTGAATCTTTTCAGCTATGTATGTGACGGCCACTAAATAACGATACTTAACTCTAAAATGAAAACAAAGTTAATTGCATAATAAATAAAAATGCCAACATATAGCCAATATCCTATTATTTACCTGGACCTTTCTCGCACCCCCTGGAATATCGTCTCGCACCCCCAGGTTGAGAACTTCTGATCTAAAAGATGTAATTTCAACAGGATTGTCTGTCAAATAGGCTCATGTTAGTCTCATCTTATTTGAAACTAGCCACATTTTCCTCTTACACTCTTTTTCCCCCCCTCCATCTTCAGTTTTTCTGCCAGGTGTCTCTAGTGACTTTGCCTTCACTTTAGGTGTCAAAACATCTAAGCTTCAGCTTTATTAGTGGTTTTTTATGAACAGTCTGGATTCACTTCACGTATTATTAAATATTAGTTTTCCTCTCGTGGTTCAAAATATTCTCAACAATTTTCTCCAGGACCACAATTCAAAGGAATCAATTTTTCATTCAGCATTTCTAATGATCCAGGTGTCCTAATTAAACCATGAGCCTTGAGCCAATTTTCAAAAGAAATACAGTTATTTATTAGGAGCAACATATCGGCACTTTTCTCAAGTGCAGTCGGCTCTGCCCCACGTAATTTACGGCTCAACTATGACCGTATTCCCCCCCCCCCCCCAGGGTGTGTCATAAATCACATTCTCCAATGGAGCACCTTCACAGGCTGTAGAAATCACGCTTCTGGGATACAGCCTTGAGAAAGGTAGGTGTGTGGAATGTAACTCTGGTTGTGGCTGCAATGCTGCTGCACCTGCTCTCTCCTCTCCTGCCCATGGCAATTCGATAGTAGGCCAGGAATGCTTTACAAGTTGACACCAGGTTTCACTGTCATACATTGCAACTAGGAAACCATGGTTTTACTATCTGTACCTTGGTGTCAGTGTGAAGTCTCCACACTATATTAGTTTGACTCAATCCAAGTAGCAGACATCTCTCTATTCTTTAAAAACAAATATTGAACTTTTCCACAGTTTAAAAACTCATATATACAATCTTTGCAGTATTGTGACATCGACTTTAGGTTAATATACATATTTACATATATACATCAATTTTTATTCCTACTGGCTAACCAATTGTATCATTTCTCCCAGACCGTATAGTATTCCTTATCTTCTCTATCTTGCAATTCCAATGTGATTTTGACCATTTCTGCACAATCCATTATTTTCTTTATCATCATACTATCAGGAGGGGTACTATCTAATTTCCAGCTCTGTGCGTAAGTGATTCTTGCCGTTGTCAATATATGTATTATGACATATTGGATTTTTTTCTTAAATACGCCTCTAGTTGTTCCTAGAAGAAACGTTTCAGGTTTAAATTCAATTTGCATGCCAGTGATTTCCTGCAACCATTTCCTTATTTTGTTCCAATGTTTTCTTGCTTTGGGGCAAGACCACCACATGTGAAAGAAGGTACCTTGTTTGTATTTGCATTTCCAGCATTCTGGACTCATGTTTGGATAGATTTTGGGCAATCTTGCTGATGCTAGATGCCAATGGTAAAATATTTCATAAAGGTTTCCCTTATAGGCAGAAGCCATTGTTAATTTATAGTTTTTAGACCACAGTTTTTCCCATTCCTCTAATTGAATGTTTTGACCAAAAGTCTGTAAGTACAGGTCCTGTAGTCCTTGACTTATAACCACACCAGAGCCCCAAATTTCCATTCCTAAGCAAGACAGTTGTTAAATGAGTTTTGCCCCATTTTATGACCTTTCTTGGCACAATTGTTAAGTGAATCACTGCAGTTGTTAACTTAGTAACACAGCTGTTAATGGCTTTCTCATTAACTTTGCTTTTTGGAAGGTCACAAAAGGGGATCCCATGACCCCGGGACACCGAAACCATCATAAATACATGCCAGTTGCCAAGTGTCCGAATTTTGATCATGTAACCATGCAACAGTCGTAAGTGTGAAAAAGGGTCATAAGTCACTTTTTTCAATGACATTGTAATTTCGAATGGTCACTAAACGAATGGTGGTAAGTCGAGGACTACCTGTATATCACTTTCTTCTCTACCTATTTGCATCTAGTTGGCATTGTGTATTGACATAACATTAATGTTGCTTTTTGGGGGGTCTCATCTCATGTTTAAATGCAAAAACTAGAGACGGAAAAAATATTGATTTAAATTTGAAGAGATTAAAAACTTTAATAAAAACCTCAGTTTATATAGTTCTTTTTTTGTTGGTTAGTTTTTTTTTTGTGTGTGTGTGTGTGTGTGTGTGTGAGCTATGGAATTCATCGCTGCCACATAGCTCTTAGTAGACAAAATATATTTCTTTTGATAGCTCAAGGTTAAAGAGTGTGGCGCAGAAAGAATTGGAATCTACTTGGGATTGGTTCATGTGATGTGATGATGAGGGAAAAGGGGATGGTTTGTAGGTTGGGACCTTTTGGGGAACCCGGGAAAACTTTTAGTTTCAGAATTGCACAGAATGTGCCAGGTGCTATTCTAATAAAAGTACTTTGAGATGAGGTGCGTCTTGGAGTTACTGACAGGAATGGATTTTCCCTGGAACATATATGTGTGTGTGTGTGTGTGTGTGTGTGTGTTTTCATAGATTGTCATGGGTACAGGTATGCAGGTCTTAATGTGTTCAGGTCTTTTCCCGTGTAAGATCTTACACGGGAAAAGACCCAAACACGCCACGACCTGCAGATAGATAGATAGATAGATAGATAGATAGATAGATAGATAGATAGATATACACACTCTCTCTCACACACACACACTCTGTGTGTGTGTGTTTGTGTGTGTGTATGGGTGTATGCATGTATGTATATGTATATATGTATATGGTTTTCATATGCTTTCTTTCAGCTGCAGTGAAAGATTCTGTGTGCTTTTTTTTCCTCTTCTAATCATCAGAATCATCATCAGTCCAGAGTTTTGCATATTTTCCTCTTGTGTTTTTCTCAAATAAATAAATAAATTCCAAGCAAGATAGGACTTTTTTTTTTTTAAAAAAAATAATGCTGAGTTTAAGGTTCCATTTCATTGCAGAGCCGTGGGACCTTCTTTTCCATCTATTCGCCTACAAAATGAGACTTCTTGCACAGGGCTAAAGTGCCTTCTGTGTCCTATTCCCATTTTTGTACTGTTGTCTGTCTTTTCTTAGGCACTTGCTGATTCAGTGTGTTTTTTGGGCTCCAGGAAATGACAGTCAGTTCCCTGCAGCTACATTTTAATACAAAGGGTACCCTGGTTGCTAAGAGACTAGAGCTTCAAGTTTGGGAATCTTTGTGCATCAAAGCATATTTCAGAGAATCAGGTTTTTTTCATAGTTAGCAAAACTGAACTTGGGAATGATCTGGAAGACAAATTCTCCCAGGTTGCACTAAACATATATTTTGCCCTTTTCTTATGTAAATGGGCAAGAGTTTCTCTTCTATCCCAAGAATCCTCAATTATTATTATTCCTCCTCCTCCTCCTCCTCCTCCTCTTCCTCTTTCTCTTCCTCCTCCCTCCCTCCCTCCCTCCCTCCCTCTCCCTCCCCTCTCCTTCCCTCCTCTCCCCTTCCCTTCCCCTACTTCCTCTTATGTACTTCCAGTCACTGGCTGTGAGTTCATGAGAGAGTATAATGGTATATGGGAATGACCTTGAGGGACAGAAGGCAGAGTTGTGGACAGCTGGCCCTTAAAAGATATCTCAGCCCACAGAAGAGTTGAGGTTGTGGCATTTCAGAAGCTATCCTCCCTGGTTTTCCAGAGAGTAAAAGGAAAGGACGGGAGGAATACTTTTAGTCTTGCAAGATTCTACTAATGTAACTTACGAAGAAAGGGCTAGTAATCCTAGTTGTACTTCTTGTCCGGAATACCTCACAGAGTTAACACATGGTGTCATCGCCAGAAAGAATAAGTCTGAAAAGCGCACTTATTTTATTTTGGGGAGTTGGGATTTTTTTTTTTTTATAGCCTTCCAATGGTGCAGTATAATATTTCTTGTCTGCAAATAGTTAAATTCAGCTTCCTACCATGAGTCAGATGGCAGACTAAGAAGGATGTCAGAGAGCATCCTCTCTCCATTAGCATGCTACTCAAGTTGCCAGCATGCTGCACTACTTGAATTCCTATTGCCAGCAGCAGTGGTCTTATCAGGTATGCACAGCTGGCTGGTACTTTCCAGAATGAAGCCAGGGCAGTTGGGACAGTGTATTCCATCAGGGCCTTGCAAGGTGTAGGAAAAAGGCTCCTTCTGATCAAGCCCACCTACTGGTTGGTAAGCACATTTGGAGGGATGGATAATGGAAAAGAAAGTAAAATATATATATCTCTCTCTATGTAGTTTTCTTAGCCTGGAAATAGCATGGACGAGGTTTGCCTCTTTCTTCTTCCAGGTAATGTTTTCCTTTTGACAACCTGCATCCTCAGGGTTCCTGGAAATTCTCACTTCAAATAACTAACCAACTTTGTCCCTCCTTAGCTACAAATCCCAGATAGGATTGGCCAAGATCTACCATCTGCTAAGATTGAAAAATATAACAAATTATCCCAAGGTTTCCTCACATGTCTGATAAATTGGTCCCAGTTCTGGGCGCTACATTTTACAAAAGGCACTAACAATTTAATTTGCTTACCGAAGAATAAAAAGCAAGATAACAGAATGACAGAGTTGGAAGGGACCTTAGTGATCTTCTAGTCCAGCATCCCCCAACCTTTCCAGGTTGGTGACCCGGCATGCAGGTGGGGGAAGAGGGGATGGTTTTGCGCAAGGGACAAGGATGTGCACACACAGCTTCATTTATGTGAATGGCGGCCATGCACACACACCGCTTGTGTGAGTGGGGTTGCGAGCACTGGCACCATTTGTGGGAGTGGGGCTGAGAGCGCTGGCGTCCACCTCTCCTCTCACACGAGTGGAGTTGCACATGCGTGTACTAGTACTCACATGGCCTGGTTGCAAATAGACCATGGCCCAGTGGCCCATGGCCCACAGGTTGTGTTAAGTATGAGGCATGGGCGTAGAAATGGAGACAAAACTGCTTCTCGTGAACTTCAGCTCTTTATTTAAAGCATGATAACAGAGACAAAAAAAACCCGGTTAGCAGCCGCCCTTTTATAGAGTGAACTGCTATCCGGATGACCAATGGATGTTGTTATAGGGTTTGAACCTCGTCCAATGGGACTCGGCCCGCTAACAGCCAATCAGATTGCTCGGAATGAACCAATCATAACTTGCCATTATATGGGCCAATAGGAAGTGCAGGATTACGATCCTGCTATGCAAATGAATCTTTATTAATTACATTTCTTTAGTTCACAACAGGTTGGGGGCCACTCTTCTAATCCAATCCAATCCTCTACTCAAGCAGGACACCTATAACATTTCAGGCAAATGGTTGTCCAATCACTTCTTAAAAACATCCAGTGTTGGAGCGCAGACAACTTCTGGAGGCAGACCATTCCACTGATCAGTTGTTCTCATTGTCAGGAAATTTCTTCTAAGTTCTAGGTTGGTTCTCTCCTTGAGTAGTTTCCATCCATTTCTTTGGGTGCTTTGGAGAATACGCTGACCTCTTCTTCTTTGTGGGACCCCCTTAGATATGGGAACATTGCTATCACCTCACCCCTAGCCCTACTTTTCCTTCTTTTCAGATAAGGAAGAAGAGAAGGGTTTTATTAAATTTAGAGACCGCACAAGTCTGGGCAGCTTACCTTTTGATACTCAAAAACAATTAAAACAAGAGAAAGACTATGAATATCTGGAAGGAACAAACATATGTTATAATAGTGGACATTGGACAGGGGTTTGGATTAGATGATCTCCAAGATCTTTTTGTCTGTCCCCCTTTGTGATTTGTCATGGGTTTTGCTAAAGCAGACACAATTTCTCAGGCATGAAAGCAACACTGTGTGATGATTGCAAGTAGCATGAGAAACATCAGTAGACTGCTGGCAGCCATTACTCAGAGTGGCTAAGAAAGGCAAAGAAGCTGCTCAGAAGGAAGGAAGGAGGAAGAAGAAGAGATTGGGCAACGCTTTGTCTGAAATGGTTCAGGGTTTTCTGCTTGAGCAGGGGTAAAACTAGAAGACCTCCAAGGTCCCTTCCTGTTATTCTGTTATTCTGATCCCCTGTTTCCTACTCCAATGAGTTAGGGAGGATTTTTCTGCCAAGGACAAAGCTGCTGTTCATTGAAAGAGGACACATTCTTCTTAGCATCTCTTTCAGCTGACCCGGTAATTTCTATCAGATATTCAGTTTACTGTGTGCATCTTTTCAATGACCTTATAAACAAATAGGCTGGGCTTTGCACCAGGTGCAACTCTTGCTTACACCTGCCATAACATTTGATCTTCCGATTTTGCTCTGTTACATTTCTGAAGTGCTCTTTTAAAAAAAAGGCCCGTCTGAAAATAAGCGTCCTACTGTGTGTCCTTCTGGCACATAAGAGAACTCCTGTGTATTGCTTACCACTTTCTCAACTAACGGAACATTTCTAAAGATATCGCTCCTTCACCGAGAATTTTAATTGTTTAAAAGATTTTAGTCCTATGTTTGTTTCAGGATAGTTTTTAAACCTCTGGATTGGGCTTTTCATATTCAGTTTTTCTAGACACGTTGAGGGCTCAGCCAAGCAGAAACATAAGCGGTTTGATGTGTGCATCTTTTAAATGACCTTATAAATGAATAGATTTGGCTTTGTACCAGATGCAACTTTTACTTACAGGTGCCGTGACATTTTATCCTCTACCGTTTGATCTGCTACTATTTCTGAAGCGTTCTTTTCGTCCTGATTCTAACGAAGTCTGTTAGGTCTGTCTGAAAATAAGCTTTCTTCGGGTGGCTTGCTGCTTTTTCAACCTATAAAATACCTTTAAAGATACACTTCTTGTTTAATTCTTTAAATTTAAATAAACCATAGGGGCATAGTGGTTAACGTGTAGTATTGCAAGCAGTGGTAGAATTCAATTTTTTTTTTTACTACCGGTTCTGTGGGTGTGGCTTGGTGGGCATTGCAGGGGAAGGATACTGTAAAATCTCCATTCCCTCCCTACTCCTGGGGGAAGGTTACTACAAAATCCCATCCCCTCCTCACCCCACTAACCTGCTTTCCAGCTCCATTCTCCTGTGCAGGGCAACAAAAGAAGACCCAGTCAATCAGCTGGGACTTCGGAGGCAGAGAATAGATGGGGGCGGGGCCAGTCAGAGGTGGTATTTGCTGGTTCTCTGAACTACTCAAAATTTCCACTACCGGTTCTCCAGAACTGGTCAGAACCTGCTGAATACCACCTCTGATTGCACCTCTGTCCACTGCCAAGAGGTTGATCCTGACTGGCTCAAGTTTGACCCATCCTTCCATCCTTCCTAGGTTGGTAAAATGAGGACCCAGATTGTTGGGGGCAATAGGATGACTCTGTAAACCGCTTTTAGAGAGACCTGTAAAGCACTGTGAAGTGGTATATAAGTCTAAGGCCTATTGCTATTGCTTTAAATTATTTTAGAACTATACCTACATTGGGGCAGTGCAGTGGCTGCAGTGCTTATCA